CTTACTTTTAAATGAGAATATTGGTAAACAGACATGTGAAGAATTAAGGGAAAAAAATCAGTGGAAGGATGTAACATCAGAACAAAGTATGCTGGAGAGGCTACTCAAGGAACCCATATGAGAAGAAATAGCTCCTGACTTGATATTAAGAAGCATACATGATCTGATCAACGTGCCCATCCAAGTTTCCATCTGTAACGGTGACACAAATTGTGACACGACTGGGACATGAACTGTGACATAACTGAGACAGGAGCTTATATTTGGCAGCACTTGCCAAATGGCAGCTCTTGGCAAACAGCGGCAAAGAGCAGCTCTTCACGAAGGGCAGCCCTTTGCCAAGCGCAGCGCTCCGGGAGCGCCAGCGAACAGCAGCTCTTTGCGAACAGCAGCTGTTCATGAACGGCAGCTCTGGGGTAGAAAAAAGACTTAAGTCAGCGGGGTTTGTGGAGGGGAAGTTATGTGCTTTGTTTTGTTTTGTTTACTGGCTAATTCCAATTCATCCCTGCCAAGTACAAAGACCTTCAAGATATAAAATAAACAAAAAAAGGTGAAGAAGTGTTAAGAAGGAATGATCCACCTTGCTTTGTGTCACTCTCACTGCTGTTCTCTGGGGTTTTTGGGCTGGACTTTGAAATCCCTTTTCAGACGCTGTTGTTTTCTTGCTTTCAGCCTTTCATTATGAATTGAATTCCTTTAACCTACGTGGCTACTTTGAGACCAGCAGCAAAAAAAAAGCCACTTTCTCCTATGGCACTGTCTGTGGCCCCTGCCCCAGTCATTGCTCGTAGGCACGGTGGGTCAAACCAGCTACTGGTTATGGGGAAACACGCTCTGTCCAACCTCCGCTTGCTGTGTTAGTGCCTCCAGAATGCATGCAGGCTTAGCAAGGAAGAAAAGCAATTGCATCCTGCTTTTTGTTTGAAGTTGATGTGCAGTAATGTAAAAGATAAAAGGTGTTTGACTATGAGGGTCCCTTCCAACCCAAACCATTCTGTGATTCTGACTGCTAGCATTGTGCTCCAGTTTGGGCGTTCCACTGGAAAGGCTATTTCCCCTACCAACCCATACAGTGATGGTCAAAAGTTGGAAACTTCTTCCCAGAGAGTTGATCTTGGCAGCAGCAGAGAGAAGACAGTATATGGCAGCCTGACCAGTAAAAGACAACGCAGGGCAGCGACAATCACTGCTAGCAATTCTGTAGATAAATCATACACCAAGCATCCTCACTCCTGGCTTTCTGTGGAAGCGGAGGAGAGCGGCACAGACCACGCCTGTTCCCTGAACTACGTTAGCAGTCGAAATATAAGCAAATATTGACTAGTCTATCCTTTGGACACACTTCAGGAGGGCAGGCGAATTTAAAATCAAAGGTAAGAAAACTGGGGCAACTAAAACATATGCAGCTCATCCAGAAATGCATTCAGAGGACGTCCGAGCAAAGATGGAAACCATGGATTTCTTTACAAGGCACAGAACAAATTATAAGAAGAGAAGGAAAGATTAAGATTGAAATGTAATTTTTTTTAAGTAAAAAGAGAGAATTATTTCAAACAAAATAAATATTTAGTACTTCTTAATGGACAGAACACCACAGTTAATATACAATGCTTGTATTTAGTCTACCCAGAAGCCTTCACTGGACCTCCAGTCATTTTTCTAATATTCATTGAAATGAATCTTTATGAAATATATATATTATATATATGTATGAAATATAACTTCATCTGGCGTGAAGCTGAGCAAAGAAATGCTTCTTTAATTAACTTCTTTAACAATCTTAATTATCTTTCATTTAAACTCAGAGATGACCCTTGGAGAATTCAATGTACCATCATTAAAATTTGTAGACAACGTTATTTTGTCTGACCTAGCAGTGTGGACACACAGCCCCCGAGGTCTGATTTCAAATGCATGGATCTATGTCCTCATTCTTTATGAAGTTACCTGACACACGACCATGTCAACTTTATTCTCTTCAATTATTAGAAACACATATATAACATATAAATAAATTAAATAAACACAGATCCTCTCTTGATTCCTAGAAACTTCCTTAAAAATGGTCACGTTGTTCTCAGTGTCTGGTCTTGGCTCTCCTATGCAGCGTTTTCATCCCTTTCTAAACCGAAAATTAAAGTGCAACACGGCACTGACAGTTATTAAAGTAGGATCATCTGTAATGAATTGTGTATTTCCAAAGGTCCAAAGTTTTAGGCAGTTATTGAGCCTTTAAGATTCATTTTAGAAAAATCACTGTCTTTGCATAATTTCCAGTGGATGAATTTCATAATACAAGCCTTCCCTCTTCAGCCTCTCCCCCCCGCCCCCCCCAGTTTTGAAAATCATGTCATAGGACCTGGATCAGAAATGAACACTTTCAGCTGCTTGGAAAAATATTAGTCACAAAAATATCTCATAAATTAAGCAGTGCTCAGCTTGGCAAAGGGTCTTCATTTGCTTTTTTTCAAGAAAAAAAAAAAAAATTACTTCCATGCACTTTAATGTGCTCTGCTGAAAGTCCTTGCCTTCACCAGGCTCAAAATGTCATCACCCGTGCTTATAGTAATGTAGACCCCAGACATCTTTCTGCACCCAGCAGTCAGTGGATGAGATGGTTAAACTGCTGTACAAAATAACTCCTGCCATAGCATGGAAAACTCCTTGGGTTTCATTTTTGGATCAAATTCTGCAACACCTGCTTTTTATTTGGCAAAACATTTTCTATCCCAGAATCTCTGTCAGGTTAAGCAGAGAAATTCTACGGTGTCACATCCCGTTAAAGCTAACACTACACTTTGAAGAGGGATTTTCACTGCAGCGAAGTCAGGCTTGCTCACGAGGGCTTTGGAAACGTTCAGTCAGCGTTCCCATTCTCACATGAAACTCAAGGACTCGTGCTTGCCGTCTGGTGGCTTGGAGCAGAATTAGAAGCAATCTGTTAACAACAAAGTAGAAATTTTTTTTTTTGTGCTAAAAGATGGTCATTTTAATTTGTGGTTACTTTTGAAAATCAAAAAATTGTTCTGGAATTGTACCTGGAAAAGAAGACTATTCCCTCCGTGTATCTACTAACTGAAATGAACATGGAAAGAACGCAGAGTATTAATGTGCAGCCACGGAGCCTCCTGCGAGAACAGCCGTGGGGAGTGCATCTGAGCACGTCAGAGACTTGTGCTGCCTGGGGCAGAAGATTACTCTGAGGACTCTTCCTATCCAGTGAGTCCTTCCTTACAGCAGTCCTGGAAATCCCAAAGACGACCCAAGCAGAGCACTAACATTCTTTGTCTACCTTCATTAAAATCAAATCGTTGCCTGTTTGCAAAAAAAAAAAAAAAAAAAAAAAAAGCTAAACAGGATTCCATGAGGGCTGATATGACCATCTGTTTCTGTTCTGCAGAACATGTGCATACTTCAGAGTTGATGGTTTATATTGATTTAATAATACAAGACAGAAACAGTTCAGTCTAGAACCTCCAAGCACCCTCTTCCACCTGAATGGCCTAATCCCCAGGTGGCAGTAAAGCTCTGGATTTTATGTTCTTTGTCTAATTTTACTTATTTTATATTCCTGGATATAAAGGAACATATAATCAACAAAAGCAGCAGAAAATACTTCCCTCCAAAATAAATACATCCTGTTTTAAGGTGATGGAACTAAAATTCTCAAGAGAAAAAAAAAATCCAAACTGTCCATTCTGTGCAGGGAATGCAGGGCAGTACCTTCCACACAACTGGAAAACAAGGGAGAAATAAGCCTCCCTCACTGTGCGAGTTTTCTTTCTGAAACTACCACCTAAAATAGATCACTCATCAGAATTAGTTAACTTAGATTGCAGGAAAAAGAATACGCAATTGTAAATGACTGAATTTGGTACAATCTTTTTCTGTCCACTGCCCTTTTTCTGGGGGGTGGACAGTTTATAATATTTAATAACTTATTTTCAGAGGTAATATAACAAACAGACACTTAGGCTTAACAAAGAGGCTCTCTTGACATAAGTATAGATGCCAAAATAAAAATTTACTAGCACTTGACAAGTTCTGTGCAATTTTTTAATGCACAGTTTAGAGTGTTCATCAATAAAAATAGCTCATGACAAAATCTGTAATCTCATTAATGTATAGTAAACATTAATTTAAACGATACAAACAACGAAGTAACAAAATGCACTGTCATTAAAGCACTTCCAGTACCAACAGCTAGGAGGCATGCACTTACTGCATATCATATTTTATCTTCATTTAAGACAAACTGAAATTCTAATCTGGAAACTCCCCTAATATTTCATTCTTTCAGCTGATTGCAGAGAAAATACTTGTAAATACAAAAGAAAAAGAAGAGTTGACAGTTTTGTAATCAATATTATATAGGATATGTAATTACTATATAAAAATTGACTCTGTTCCTTTAGGAACTGGATGCATACATTTCCTGGTTTTTGCACTGCAAAATATTTTTTCTCCCTAGATGATTTGTAACTTTTATGTCATGTTTATAAAACAAAATCACACTTCATGCATTTTAAAGGACCTTTCTTACACACTGTGGTTACTCTTCAGTGAGAAAACATGGTCCACTGTGGTTCACGTCCTTGCAACAACACAAAAAAATAGCATTACAAAATACAACCAAATGATTTCTTGATTTTAAACTTTTGAATCTGATGTAATTTTAAAAGTACTACTTGATATTAAATCTCAAGATAAAGAGATGTCATTATAAAAGGTCTGGGCCATCACTGAGCACTTTGAATCCTTCCCAGTTTCATACGGGTTATTTCAGAAGCAATAACAAATAGTTATGGCAGAAGTATCAGATCCAAAGACTGACTTGCTATTGCTATTAAAAATATAAAAGAAATCAGAAGTTAGTGATTAAGAAACATGGAACAGAAGTCTGCCCACTTTTAGTAACTGCAAAAAATGAAAACTGACTTTTTAGCAAGAATTTTTTACAATCATCTTAGTGGCATTTGAAATAAAGTTTTGAAAAATATGCTGTGAAATTTCTTAATTGTTTATTAATGAATGTTTTGAAAAACTAAATGAGGCATTCCAGGTTAAGGTGTCGACAATCTGTTTCACCGATGCATACAAGTCGCACAGTTTGCATGAAAAACATGTCGTTTTCGGTGTTAACAAAACTGACAACTATCAAACAGTAGAGTATCACACACAGTCTGCAAGTCTCTTTCTTTCTTCAAATTGTTTGTCTACTGCAAGTGAAAGAGCCTGGAGAAACGTTGTCATTGTAACACTGCTGGACTGAAAATAAGAGAACATTTCGTTAGACACACTACAGCAATAGGCATACATAATATTTTACCTAAAAACCACAGTATTCAAAAGAGAAATATCTAATTTCCATGTTAAAAAATTTTCAAAATGTTACAAAACATAAAACTGCAGGTTTATTTTAAACCAGCTAGCATAGTAAAGCCAAAGTCAAGCTACGCAAAATCTTCAGTCAATCACTATTACTGGGGATTTGCTTCAAATAATGTTTTTTACAAATTAATATGTTTTTATAAAGCAACAGAGGGTTTTCTTTTAGCAAGAAATTATCAGAGAACCAATATCAACGTTCTGTCACAACATTTAATTAAAAGTAGAATGCTGTTGGACAGGTCAACCCCACCTACCTTCTTCAATCTCATTTTAAATTAAGGGCAGCACAAATTTTTTTCAGTCTACAAAGCTGCAGAAACAGTGCAATTTAGATTAAAAACGGGGTTTAGGCCCCATCTTTTCCTTCACGCAGTGTCCAAATGTCTTCCCATCTGTCTCAAAACCAAACTAAAATATAATGAATAGAATAAACTTACTTGAATATAATGTGCATGTGCTAGGAAAGGAAGTTTTCTCAGGACCCGGCCACTAAGACCTTCACTTCTCCTATAGTAAAACAGAGACAAGTGCTGCTTTAAATATCCACTCTTAAAAGAAGACCTTTCCTTTTTCTATGCTTCTCCCATTAGTTCCTCTAAAAAAACTCAACCCACAGTTCAGCATGGGACTCGCAGCACTTTTAGCTGCAGCAGCAAGTGAAGAGACAACTTCAGCCTGCAGGAGGCTATACTGTACAGAAAGGCGAGCGAGGGGACAGAAACAGCATGGTCACATTTGCCTGCCAAAGCATTATGGCATATCTCATGAATTTGGGGGAACCTCTACACTGAAAGCCTATGTACAGATATAACCTTCCATCCACACTTGGAAGGACGTGAAAAAAAACCTGTTTTGAAGGCTGGACCTCACAGCTACTGCTTATCTCCAGCTTCCCACTATTTCCATACAGCCTCCTTTACCTCACCTACTTGATCCATGTTTCCCTCTCTTCCAAGAACCACTTTCTGTACATAGAGCCCAAACCTCTATGCCTGGAAAAACTTACTTGCTTTTACTCCACTCCTCACTGGTTAAGACTGCATACTTCAGAAACAGAAGGAAAACACACTTTCCTGATTTCATGAATGTTATTTTATTTTGTTCCACTAGGACCAGCACTTTGGAAAAAAATATTGCTTGATATCGTGAATATCGTTTCTATTGTTTCAAGAACTGTTATGCTGCAGTGAAAGACTATTTGCTCTACTAGCACACTCAGCAAATCATAACACTTTCCACTTACACTTCACTCCTTTCCTCTTTGCTCCTGTTCACTTGTATCTCAGTGCTAAAAACTGACTTAGTAGATCGCGAGCCATTCCAAGACACTTTCTTAGCAGGAACTGAGGCCAATAATATTTCTGTTTTCTATTACAATTCACAACATCCCCTGAAACCTGAGGCATCTCACTAATCCAGCCGGCAATTTGTCAAGAGGACTTCAAACAGCAGAACAGAAAGCAGTAGCAGTACTAAGCCAGGCAGATCCGAGAATAAGAAATGTTGGTAAATTCTGATTGTTTCCACTTTTTATCCCCTGACAGGTTTTGCACTAACCCTAACAGGAAAAAAAATGAGATGCTTTTGAACTCTAGCTGTTATGAAATTCAGTTACTTTTAGAACATCATTCCACAACTCAATATATATATATATATACACACACACCTATAGATGTAAAAAATGTAGAATTTCAGAATCTTACCTTGATATTTCTTTTAGTACAAGGCTTAATCTTGACACATTATTTTCTACGAAGCCTATCATCTCTAGCTCTCTGAGTGTCAGGAGCTGCTGTCGAGGATATATTATTTGACACTAGAATGAAGAGTTATACACTGTTGTATGAAAAACTTAAATACTGTAGAATTTGATTTTGAATGTAAGAGTGGAAATACAGAGAAGGAATGCAATTTTTGTATTTTTGTTATTCAGGAAGTATGATTAAAATGTCAAATTTATTAAAATACGACATTTTACAGTCTTGCTTTCAAAATATTACCTTCATCAGTTCTTCCAAGCAAGAAAGATATATTCTAAATATTGCTGCAGTAGATGGAGGTCCAATGTATTGCTTTATGTCAGCCCTGTCTACAAAGGCCATGTCAATTTTCTCCGTAATATTTGAAGTAGTCAGGATAACTACATTGGGATACCTTCAAGATAAAAGCAGATTTTTAGGTCACGTGTACAAGAATTACCTCCTTTTGTGACTGGCAAATTGATACCTTCCTTCTTATGACCCAAGCTATTTCAAGCAATAAGCAGTCACATCACTCTTGTCAGCCAGCAATTACACTAAATGATCTGAAGCTCTTGGCCAGTTATCACCAACCTATTTCAATGCATAGTCTCTCTCTTTCAGCTGTTTCTCAAGTGTCCATAGTTTCTCCAACCCTATTTTAGAAGTGATGTACATTAACTATCTAGAGCCTACTGGCATAGTTTCTGCCAGCAAAAAAAAATTATTAAAAGAAGACTTATAAATGTAAACCTTGAATCTACATGTTCTTCCATTTCAATTCAGTTGGAAGTATACCGTTTAACTGGCAATGTGACACATTCTAACCACAGATGACATTGGAATGAGCTTAAAAGAGAAGTAACATCTCCTTGCTCTAACAACCGTTGAAAGAACATTCTTAAACCATAGCTATTTTTAGATTAAGTCTGTGAACTTTTATGTATGAATACATAAAATGTATTTACCTTTAATTAGCCACAAGACAGGGCCAAATACTAGGGCACCTTTCTTTCTGTGAACAGAGCCAAGTATGTCCAAAAAAGGGGAGGGAAGTGGCAGGAATAAAACAAGAGATGGTACGCTGCACTAAATCCAGCACACACAGCAGACCAATCATCATTAATGATTGCTTCCAATCCATGTGTTGTGCCAGTCTGCTTTAGACTGACATCCAGAAGCTGTAAATAATGAATGAATTCTTCACTGATCTTATTCTTGTCTCTCGAAAGCAGATATCATGACCATCTGTCCTGCATCTCTCCCTAGCTTTAAAGGAAGTATACCATCTGTAGATTTGATTGTTCACTCAGTTACACACAAAATATTCTGTTGGATACAGGGTGCCCAGAGAAGCTGTGGATGCCCCATCCCTGGAGGGGTTCAAGGCCAGGCTGGATGAGGCTTTGAGCAACCTGGGCTAGTGGGAGGTGGTTGGAACACGATGGTCTTGAAGGTCCCTTCCAATCCAGACCATTCTATGGTTCTATGATTACTCCTATTTCTTTTCAATTAGCACCATTAAGAATAGTTCAGTAACCAATTTGGTTTAGTATTCCAAGTAGGAATTAAGATTTAGCAGGAATCCTGAAATTGTCAATTATCTTTTGCTGTTGCAATAATATGAGTTTACCTCTTAATCTGATCTATTTGTGTCAGTACAGCATTCACCACACGAATAGCATCTGAAGGCTCTGTGCCTGCCCTGAAGGCACTGCGGGCTGCTGTGAGGCTTTCCACCTACAAAAAAACCAAACCAACCAACCAATCAAACAAAAAAACAGCAAAAAACCCCCACCAAACACCAAAAAAACCCATAAAAGATTGCACCTTTGGAGTGCTGGCAGCAAGCAAATAACCCAGACAATACACCTACAGATCCTTGTGTCTGCTACCTAAAGCTTAATCTTCAAAATCTTTTGTTAAGTATGAATTTACAGGGAGAGGGAAAGGAATGCCAAGAAAGCAAAGTGCAGTGAGTAACATTCCTGTTTAGACAGCAGAATGGAGGGTGGTTTTCATTTTAATTAAATTTCAGGTGCAGGGGGGACAAACGAAACTGAATAATGCATACATTGAATTTAGAATTAATCCCCCGTAGGAACTCCAATATAACAAAGCTAACAAGGTGCATACTTACTAAGTTGCATACATATGCGAGTCTGAAGAGAATCTAGACAATGAACTGAACGATAATAACACTTTTTAGAGCTTTACGACATACGTAAGAGCACAATTAATACAATTCTAGGCTACTTTGAAGTTTAAAACAATACTCGTAAACACACAGCAGCAAAGGATGTTTCACCAGGGAAGGTTTCGCTTCATTTTCAACTGGAATTTGCCTGCTAAATCATACTGTGTTACTCCCAAATCTCTCAAATCTGCAGTAGGCAAGATTAAAATTCACTCTTCTGCACAAAGTTATGTAACTGACAGAAAAGCATAAACATGCTTTTATCGTTCTTTACAAAAGAGCATTATCACACTCCCCTCCAATTTACTGTCTGATAAATTTTATGTACATTAGAATCATACCTCATCAATCAGGACAAACACAAGAGCATCTTTGTCATCAATTAACTCTTGAATCTTCTGGAACATCTTGGTTACAAGCTTGCCACTCTAGAAAGACATCATACACATACGTTTAACTATTTCCTTATCACACAAGTTTCCAAGCCTTACCATGTTTAAGACAGAAACATGTTGTTTTTTTAAAAATAATTTTCTACGATAGCTATTTAAGTGTTCTCAAACACATTAGTTATTCTGAGTAATGCTTGGTGCACACACTTATTTTATGAGCTTAAAAGAAACAGTGTAATTTCTAAAACACAGTCTTACTTAATTAGCTACATCAATACATACCTCAGAAAACCATTTAGAGAAAAGGCTATGGCTGTTTATCTCAATTAACTGTCCATACCTATACCTAAAGTATGAAGGGAAAAAGAAGTATAAACCCTATTGTAAATAAAAGTCAGTGATAATAAATAACTTCCCTAAGTCTCATTCCCTCCATTGCAAGCCTGGAATTCTGTGAATTAGTACTTTAAATGAATTACTTTTCAAAATATAATACCCATTTCAAGTTTAATAGTAATTTCCCAAAATTAGTCTCACTAGAATTCCTTTTATTAAATTGCTATTAGCATTCCACATTAGAACAGATACTATTTATATATAGTTTAAGTAACAGTTACCATGCTAGTGGCCTCATTCTTCTGTTCGCATAAGATTTTGTTCAGTATGGCGAGAACACATGTAAAAGCATGAAGCTTATTTACTTAGCTCTTCACAGATATCCTTAGGACCCACCCATTACAATAGCCCATGTTTATAATCAGTTCAGCTTGGGCTAGAGTCAGATCACTCCAATAGTTACACATTATGTTACACCTAGTATTTGGTATATCATTTATTTTTTTACATCAATGTGTTAAGTTGCTAAGACTAACTCATTACTTGTCTGATACACAGACTGACCTCTGCAGACTATGGCGTTCAGACAACGCAAGTACAAAACAAATTGGTTACAAAATCACTGCCTATTAAAAACAGGCTTGCTTGAACATGAAGATAAAAACAGCAGCCTTGATACTCTGTCATCCTTTGCCCTTTAATATTCATTGATGTACAATGTGAGCACAAACAAATGACTATATCACCACTGGAATTTGTTTTACGTACCTGGGCACAAATAATTACACATTTTAAAAGGCATTAAAATATCCTAACCAGTCGCTCTACCAGATCAATTTTATTGCTAGCCCGGTGCACTATAAAAGAACTATGAACAGTTGGAGCAGTTGGCACCATTTACTTGAAACAAAATGTTAAATACCTTACTATTGAATAATGAACAATAGCATAGTAAACTGAAACTAAAGTAAAAAAACTTCCAAAAACTATTACCTGTTTGACAGTCGAATTGCCAGCTTTTGAGCCAATGCTTTACAGAGAGAGGTTTTACCTGTTCCAGGAGGGCCTGGTTTGAAAACAAATCCATACATTACACAGAATCTGCATTAGATTGTTAATGACATGTAACATCTTTTTAACTACTGTATTTCATGACAGCACTAACTTTAGAATAAAAGCACAGCAGAGAATTATTGCAAATACCAGGGTATTTTGAGAAGGTTGCTTACTGCACTACAGTCCTAGAGCTAAGCTTTGAATTTATATCAATTACTAGTATAGGTAGTGTAATAGTTTGCATGCAGATACCATAAAGTTAAAATACTCAACAGCCACAGAAGCAAAGTGTATCACCCTAGCAGGGCTTATGCTTATTAGCATTCTAAACAAACTGATAATATCTAAACAAACAGACAACAGTACTTTCATTCCAAGCCAGTACTGCCATTATAGCATAAACGTATTTTGCATTACAACAGTTGTCAATTTCCCCATATTAACTTGTGATCACGAGAGATATCTATATCTCTCATAGACAGACTGAAATAAATAGTTTTCCAAACAAAAACATCCTGCAGCTTCTAAACTGATAAATAGTTATAACTTGAATAGAATTAAAATTCATTACAAAATTGTAATTAATCAATAGCAAGCTGCATTTTGCAGGAACATGGATTCAGTTGATGTTAATCTCGTTTACGGTACAACCTCCACAGTAAACCAGGACTGACTGAAGATTACAGCTTCACTGAAATAGTAATAACTAAATTAATTAGAATACTGCCTTCATCCTTGGCAACAGAACAAATGGTGTTAATAACACAACACACAGATTGATTTCCCAGTTTCCTCAAAAGGTTTTATAAACTAAACATTACTAAAAAAAATTTTAATACAGTGATAGAACTGTAACTAATACATGGTGCCTAATGTCCTCAGTATCTGCATTATTTTTGTACTTCATACAGAAAAAAATCAATAATATCACTTAAAAATTAAAATTAAAAAAACCTATTGGCACTGTATTATAAATTTTAGAATTTAAATTCCTGCAAAACATTGTACCTGGGAACATTGAATTTATTATGACATTACATTTAATCTAAATTTGTATTAGAGAGAATACTTCTCTGCTGGTCTTGGATCATGTCAATTCACTATACAGAAGTGCAATACAAGTTCTTCCAGAAGGAAAGTATAAACAGATGGCTAATGAATCTACTTGGTTTAAGACAGGTAATTTTTACCATGCAGCAAAACAACTCTGTTCCACGATATCAGGTTGCTGTCAACATTTTTGTCAGAAAATAGTAATGTTGTCATCACATAATCAAGTAACTAATTGAAGAGAAGAAAAAGAGACACACAAATTAGAGACATATCAGGAAATATAATTACAAATAGAAGCAATCTCCTAATTATGTCTATTGTATACAAAAAAAAAACCAACCCATGTCTTTTAGTCTCAGGCAACTTTTCTTTCTGCAAAGCTTGGAAATCCATTTCCTTCCTGCCCTCGGGAAAACGAATAGTACATACTGGGCACAAAGAGAGTTCTAGAACTTTTACATGAACTAATTAAATGCTTTAAGGAAGTTTAATTATTTTCATTCTCCATTGTCCCGCTTATAGTCTGCCTTTAAAACACAAGCTGCCCAAGCATAGAGAGTTAAAGGCTTGAACTCCAGGTCCTGTTCAGATGTTGTACAGCTATACATTTGTTCAGTTTGTTGCAGTCAACCCCCCAAACAAAGCATTTCCTGTCACATTTCAGTTCCTTTCTACTCAAGCACTTGTATCGGCTGCTGTAAGGAATTTGTAGATTGGTTTTCCTTCCAAATGAGGGAAGTTGCATGTACTTTCCTGAACGCTTGCTTATAAAAACAATGCTACTTCATTTTAGAATTATCTAGAATTAAGAAATAGAAAACTCTTTCAACAAAATGAATATAAATCACAGGTGTTAATCTGTACTGATTTTTACCTATAACAGCATCTAATACCATATTATTTTCAGTTGCTGTTACCTGTACTGTGTTTTTAATCCCTTCATGTCAATACGACAACACAATAGTATTCCTGCAATATCTCTTGCCCAAGCATTTTGCAGCAGCAAAAAACCTGAACTTCATCCAGCATGTTCTTCAATATGCTATCGACACTGTACCACTTTGAAAATTCACAGCAACCGTTTCAGAGTCTGTAGAATCCAAACGTACCCAGCCAGCTCCATGGATTAATGAACATTTACCAGAATTACTTTTACAGAAGTTAAGTAGTTCTAGTTTTAGTCATTAAAAGTTACCACTTTCCACCAACATACAGTCAACAGTGATTGACTCGCTGTTATTTAGTATATTAGTAGGTCTAATTAGTCTTGCCATTTCACAGATGATTTGGAAAGCAGTTCTACAAATCAGACAAACGTTGATGTGTTAATTCACGTTTACAGTTCTACAAGCTCTGTCAGTTATCATCACAACCTTTGATGAACCCACAGAAACTTCAAACTAGAAAATGACCCCATGGAACTCTTTTGTTCCTTCTGAATGTCTGACCAGCATTGAAGTGGTAGTGCACTGACTCTAGTCAAATCATTCCATGTGCATTTGTATGAGCAGTAACAGCGCTGGCTGACGTTACCGCTAAACCAAGGAATTGTCTATCTGCTGCCAGAAACACAGCTCAACTCCCACTCCCTTCCACCTAGCCTGCACAGGTCACAGCGGACCGATTAATGGGACAAAACCAGGTGGAAATTAGCCCATCACACAATAAATTGAACACTTGCAGTGATTTAGTTTCCTCACTTTAAGTGCCAGTAGGCAGGAAGCACTGCAAGTTCAGCTGACAGCAACACACTTGTCTTTTAGCAATAGCAAGCCACCAAAATTGCCTTCTCACTAAAAAAAACCCCTCACCTATGACACAACAGATCTTTCGGGACCTTCACAATGGAGAAATAGAGAACTGATTTCAAAGAATGCTGTGTACAATTTTTATATGCCTCTTTGAAGTTATTTGTTTCCACCAATTTTCTTCTGCCCTTCTAGAAAAACATGCAATTAATAAGCCTTAAAATAAGACGCAGTATTTTAATAAAGAAAATTTCTACTCTGTTCTACGGAACATTCACTGTTTTCTTCACACAGACTGATGAATATGTCTAAATCAAAAGTAAAATTCTTCTGGGAAGTTTTAAGTTGCTACCAAAACAACACCTCCAGCTGTTAAACTTCTGATTTCTGTAAAATAAGGCAATGCATATGAAGAAATTCTTTATAATTTGTGGCATGAGCATCACTGAACCCAGTTTCACAGGGAAACTGAGTTTTTTTGCAAAGCTGACTTCACAATAGTACATATTGATACGTGTTTGAGATATGCTCTTTACTCTCAAAATGTCACCTCTGTCTTCTTTTGCTAAGTGTACATTAGAGAAGTATTAGAGAAGTATGTAACTATCAAAAATTATACAGAGATTTTAACAGGAATATAAAGCTTTGCAAAATGGCCAAGACTATACTACCTTTCAAAATACAGAAGTGTAACAAGCAGACATCAGAATTCTTTCTTCAGCTGGTGATTTCCAAATAACTTCTCCACAGGATGCAGCAAACTTCAAACAGGCCACATTTCCTACATTTCAACTCTTACTTCTCCTCAAGCAATTTTAATTGTTATTAATTTTCAACTTACGTGTGATTTTACTTCACTGTCATATATAAGGCTTTCCCATAGGCCATGGAATTCAGCTGCAAAAGCAATAGATTATATACCTGTTTAGGATAAATCAGTCTGGGAACTTGCAATCTACCATGGCAGCACAAAGCAGTTTTCAAATTATTCTCAACTAAAATTAAGGATTGAGAACAGATATAAAAGAGCAACTGAAATATATGGAAAAAACCATATGAGTTATTTTTCTCAAAATACAAACATTACTTTCTAATGGACAAATTCAGCGGTTTCACAACTTCTGTTTCCTCCAACATTGTGAGGAGAAATTAACCTTCTTAATTTCTTAACATGAAAAGAAAAATATAATTCTTTCCACCCTCATCAGAGGATGGACCTACACTTCCCCAAGATAAAGAGCTACAAAAAGTTGGGGGGGAAGGAGGGTTCTAAGGCAAATTTTTTCATTCAGCTTTGGTTTTTCTTTTTTTTTTTTTAACATCAGCATGTAGAGGATGAAAAAAAGCATGTAGCTGAATAATGCATAAAACATTGAAGTTGTGATTTGGATATCAACCATTTCTAGCAGTTAGTTTATAACTTTGAGAAAAAAAAGCAAAAAAGACTGAACAATTATAAACCACAACAACATGGAAATAATTTCAAAGTATCAGACTGAATTCTTCCCATAGAGAAATTGAATGAATAGTCAGGCTTTTCACAACATTGAAAGAGCAAGAAATATCTCAGAATCACTGTCTCTTTGAGCTTAAGCTCACACCAGTACCTCTCCTTGCAGGAGCAGAAGCCAACTTCCCCAAGCACAAGACAGTAACAAGCAGGCTAGGCCCTATTGCAGAGCAAAGCCTTATTCTTCTTTTCAGAAGCACTCTGAGGACTCTAAATCTCTTTAGCTTGCTTGCTTTTTCCAAATATAAAAGCAGCACTGTCTTGGGGCTGGAAGTCAGAAATAGGCTCTAGAAAATGATTGTTTAAACTGATGAGTTTCTTGTGGGTTTCCAAACAAAAATTTGGAATGCAGCTCGTAGGGTTAAAATTTTGCATGCTTCTGATTATGACTGTGCATTTGATTCCACAAGACCAGTTACTTCTACCCATCCAGAAGTATTACAGAAGTAAATGTGTTGTGGAATCACCAGCAGTAGTTCAGTCAAAATCATAAAGAAGAAAGTCCAAATATATTTGTTCCCTCAACAAAGGACAATATATACAAACAATACCTTTAACAAGTAACCCTATAAACACTTTTAGCCTGTCCAAGATTTTCTTTCATTGTAATTGCTCTAGACCTTCCAGAAATATCATATGGGTACCTGCTGGTAGCACCCAGTGGTTAGCTGCAACGATATCTTCATTCTCTTCTTCCAGGTTTTCAGAGCTTGGTCCTTCTTCATTCAGATTAAAAATATGAAGAGAAAGACTGCTTTTGCTCAAGTCAATAGGCTAGAATGGACATAAAAAGACTTTTAATACAATGTATTTCTCAATCAAAACTAATTATAACATTCAGCTTTGAAAACTACTACTTCTGTTTCAGTGTAGGCCCAAAAACTTATCCACCTTTTCCTGGTTAGACCAGGAAATACTATTAATGTTAAAAGATACTACATCAACCTATAGACCTTATCTTGCTTGTGTCCTTAGGCTGTCACTGGTCTACCTACAACTAGTGCATATGCGTTTGAAGAGAGCTGGACATTCTTGACTGTGAATACCTGTCTGTCTTTCAGTTTCAGCTCTGTATCCACAATCGACACGGACTTCACATTGCTGTTAAGGAAACTGTCATCAAACTCTGTCCACTTGTAATCACCAAACACAATGTTATGTCTGTTCAACAGCTTTAAGACACTCATCCTGATATCTTCCTTCATGGCCACACTAACAAGAAAGAAACAGTATTACTTATTACATTGACATTTATAAGGAAGTATGAGTTAATATCAGAGTGTTTTATTTCATACACTAAGACTTCATGGAAAACAGCTTCCATCTGACAAAAAAAAACCCAAAAAAACAAACAAAAAAACCCCCAACCAAACAAACCCACACAAAACAAACCATCCCCAAAAAAACAAGCCACACAAAAAACCCCAAACCCACTCAACCCCCCTCCAACATTCTGCACAAAAAAAAAAACCACTATCAAATTCAGTTTGTTTGCAAAAGCAACAAGTTTGATACTTGTTTTTAATTTGTGCATTAAAAGAGACAAGCCAAAGAATACTACTTGTTCTGCGGTCATATCAGGGTACACGGAATAACGCAGCTAGAAGATTTCAAGAACGGAAATCAGTTATACAATTTGACTGTTTCACTAGGAAGACCAGACAAACTCATAACCATGCTACTAGACTGAACTTCGTACACTTAGTTTAGAAGCTATATTATGCTTTCACGCCTGAGGACAGCTGATACCCCAAGATGAGGACATGTCATAAGGAGCATTCCAGTAGAAGAGACAAAAACTACAGGAAAGGCAACAGCATTTTAAGATTTCAGAAAGGCTTTAACTTAGTTTTGCAATTTCAGTGATGCATACCTAGTACAAATTCCGAGTTCCTTGTCTTTTAAGTCTGACAAAAAGAGAGCATTGGATATTTTACACCTTGATTTCAGCCACACCTTGGACACACTCTTCCATAGCACTTAGATAGCCCAATTGGTAAGATAAGGATGAGATAAATGGGCAGGGTGGCTGGACTGTGCGGCTCAAAGCGTTGTGATTAGTAGTACAAAGCAGAGCTGCCAGTAACCCTGGTGGGGAAAGATGGGGTAGTGCTGTCAATATTGGGACCAACTGTTTTTACATCTTCATTTACACCCTGGACAATGGGATGGAAAGCAACTGCAGCTTGCTTTGGTCTTTATGGATAACATCAAAGCAGGGAAAGCTGTCAGTATACTAGAGAGCAGGGCTGCCGTTCACAGGGACCTCTGCAGGTCAGACATGGTTTGACAGGAACCTCTTAAAGTTCAACAAAAGTAAACGTGAAATCCTTCCTCCCCACCTACTGCCCAGACAACAGCATAGCCCAGACGCCAACTGGATGAAAAGCAGGTTTGCAGAAAAGGACCCAGGGGTACTGCTGGACAAGCTGTCAATGAGTCAGCAGCGTGACCCTGCTACAAATAAGCCCACCTGTTATTTTAGGCTGTGCTAGTTAGGGAAAGTGTCTGCTGACTGTTTGTGGGACCACATCTGGAGCACTGTGTGCGGTGTTGGGCTCTGCTGTACAAGAGACAACGATACACTGGACTGAGTTCACAGCCACCGACTTGATTATGAGAGTGGATCACAGCATGCAGAAGGAGAAGCTGAGAGAAACGGGTTTGTCCAGCCTTAGGGAGAGGCAGCTGGGTGGAAACTCACGGGAGAGCTCCAGAGAACACCGAGCAGCGTGCTGGGAGCTCTCGCAGGTGCCCAGCACAAGGAAAAAAAGGCAACAGACACAAGCTGCAGCAAGTAAAAGCTCTGTTCAGAGAGACCTGTTCGATTTCTGATGAACTTCCACGTGGATCTGCACGTTCTCACAGACATTCGGGAGCGCTTGCTTCAGCTCCCCGGCGGCTTCATCCATCCTTCTCGTTCCTAGGGGGAAAGCAGACTTTCAGC